TGCTCCCAGGGATGGGCGGGTCTTGCTCTCCCCTCCTGGTCTCCAGGCCTCATGGGGCCCGGCCTGCTTGCCACCCCACCCCCTCCCTCTCAGGCAGGTTGGGCCTGTGTCAAGCGGGATGTGGGATGTGAGAGCGTCTAGGTTATGGGTTTCCGAGCCTCTGCTGTGCCGTCTGTACAGAGCCCTGCCCAGTGTGGCCTCTGCCCCCTGCAACACAGCTGATGGACAGGAGCTGCCGGCCATGTCTGTGGGAAACAGCAGCTCCTACACACGGGCTCTGAGCCAGGCAGGGGCCTGCCTCTTTGTCTGGGGCTCTGTCTCTGAGGGAACAGGTTCTGCCCTTTATCTTTTTAAAAATCTTTTATGTATTTGAGAGTTAGATTTACAGACAGAGAGAGAGGTCTTCCACCCACTGGTTCACTCCCCAAGTGGCTGCAACGGCCAGAGCTGGGCTGATCCGAAGCCCGGAGCCAGGAGCTGCTTCCGGGTCTCCCACGCGGGTGCTGAGGCCCAAGGACTTGGGCCATCTTCTGCTGCTTTCCCAGGCCAAGGCAGGGAGCTGGGTCAGAATAGGAGCAGCCAGGACTTGAACCAGCGCCGTATGGGACACCAGAGCCACAGGTGGAGGCTTAACCCACTGTGCCACAGCGCTGGCCACTGCTGTCTTATTTTTTACCTTGATGTGGGCCCTCAGGAGCCCTGCAGGATGGAAAGGGTGGAAAAGCAAGGGCAGAACTCACACGTTCCTGGGCCCCCTGAATCCCACCTGTGCTCTCAGTAGTGGAAGAGATGGGAGATTGCAGGTGGATGAGGTGGGGCGGAGCAGAGCACGGTGGCCACAGAGGAGCCAAGCACAGAAAGTAGGAAGCACGGACAGTGCCACTGCGCAGAGATGGATGCGATGCAGGCTTGTGCCTTTTCTACCCGTGTAGTACCCACAGTGTCTGCCCCACAAAGGACTGAGTCCAAACTCCAGCTCAACCCAGCGCACCAGAAAATGGCAGAACCTAGGGCACTTTCCACTCCCAAGAGCTTTAGTCACAGAGATTTTCCCTCACTTTTTAAAAAACTGCCAGTGCCCCCTCTTCTTCCTCCTCTCTTCAGTAATCGCTTCTTTAGAGAAATTTATTTTTATTTTTTGAAGATTTATTTATTTGAAAGGCAGAGTTACAGAGAGGGAGAGACAGAAGCTGAGAGAGCGGTCTTCCATCCACTAGTTCACTCCCCAAATGGCCAGAACAGCCAGGAATGGGCCAGGCCGGAGCCAGGAGCTTCCTCCGGGTCTCCCATGTGGGTGCAGGGGCGCAAGCACTTTGGCCATCCTCTACTGCTTTCCCAGTGCCTTGACAGGGAAGTGGAGCAGCCAGGACTCGAACCGGCACCCACAGGCGGAGGCTTAACCACAGTGTCCACCCCCTTGCTCACTCATTTTATTTAAAAGAAGAGAGAGAGCAAGTTTCCATATGCTGATTCACTCTCCAAATGTTCACAATAGCCAAGGCCGGGCCAGGCAAAAGCCAGGAGCCTGGAACTCAATCCAGTTCTCCCACGTGGGTTGCAAGGACAGAAATATTTCAGCCATCGCCTGTGACCTCCGGGCTGTGCCTGATCAGGAAGCTAGCTTGGAAGCAGAGGACCCAGGATGTGAACCAGGAGTTTAGGTATGGATGCCAGCATCCCAAGTGGCATCGTAACCACTGCTTCCCATGGCTTTTCCTGATCGATGGATATGGCCACTTGGCTTTTCCTGATCGATGGATATGGCCACTTGGCTTTTCCTGATAGATGGATGTGGCCACTTGGCTTTTCCTGATCGATGGATGTGGCCTCAATGGGCCCTGTATCATATATGGCAACACTTGTTGGAGGGGAGCAACGTCTGCCCTGGCAGCTGCTCCCTGTGTAAGAGTGGCCACAGTCTACAGGAGAAGTAGTGAGTTATGTACTCCAGGAGCTGGCGCTGTGGTATCGTAGGGCAAGCCTCTGTCTGCGGTGCTGGCATCCCATATGGGTGCCCAGTTCACATCCCGGCTGCTCCTCTTCCGATCCAGCTTCCTGCTAATGTGCCTGGGAAAGCAGTAGAAGATGGCCCAAGTGCTTGGGCCCCTGCACCCATGTGGGAGACCCAGAAGAAACTCCTGGCTCCTGGCTTCAGATTGTCCCAGCTCTGGCCATATGGCCATCTGGGGAGTGAACCAGAAGATGGAAGATTCTCTCTCTCTCTCTCTCTCTGTAACTCTGCCTCTCAAATAAATAAGGTATTCCAGAGTCAGTGGCCTGTCTTTGCATTTTTTAAAGGTTTATTTTATTTATTTGAAAGAGTGTCAGAGAAAGAGATCTTCCATCTGCTGGTTCACTCCCCAAATGGCCACAATGGCCGGAGCTGGGCCAGGCAGAAGCTGGAGCCCCAAGAGTGTAGGGGCCCAAGCACTTGGGCCATCCTCTTCTGCTTTCCCAGGTGCATTAGCAGGGAGCTGGACTGGAATCAGAGCAGTCAGGACCCGAACTGGTGCTCCGATGTGGGAAGCCAGGGCTGCAGGCTTAGCCCACTCCCCTGCAATGCCAGCCCCTGTACTTGAATCTTGGATCACAGTAGTTGTGGGGCTTGAACAAGTGATGGCACTGTGCCTCAGTTTCCCTGTCTGCCCAACACGATGGAGTAGAATCCACCCCACAGGGTGCTAGTGACAGCACTCAGTGCCTAGTTGTACTGAGTGTCAACTGTCACAGACAACAGATGTCAGTGGGCAGACACTTACGTTGAGTTCCACAGACATCACTCGTGGTCTTAGGACGTTCTACTGACTTTCAGATTCCCGGCAACACAGTGTCGCTAGCCCGAGGACAACCAAGTTGGGAAAGTCAGACTTGCATTAATGAGGACCCCCACCCCCAAGCAAACAACTCCCTCCAGAAAGCTCTTTTCGGCTGCCCAGGGGTTGTGGGGGCAGCCTTGGCACGAAGAGAAGCACCGTCATGCTCCCTGTCTGCCGCTCAGCGCGCACCTCCTGGATCCCAGGACCCCACCCCTTCCTGTGTCTCAGGGCTCTGTCCACAGCCAAGTCCCCCGGAGCAGCACTGCGGCCGACTCCTGCTGGGGGAGTGAGCGCCCTGAGCCACCGCCCGAGGCAGGGACTTTTTAATTGTTCCTAAACCTAAGTCTGGAGCTTCCAGCAGAGTGTCCTGTCCTGGTTCAGGGACCGCCCTAACCGTCACCGTCACCGCCGCGCGATGAAGCAGGGGTTACTCCTCCGTGCTGGGAGAGCCGCTGCCCTGCTCGCTGCCAGCTGCCTTGCCCTTCCTCCGTTCCGTTCCCACGGTCTTTGCTGAGGTGTCGGCAGCACGCAGGACAGAAGCCCCTCTCCAGCCGCACCTCCCGTCTGCCATGTTCTGCTGCACCTGCCTGTTCAGCAAAGCACAGAACGAGAAGTTCAGTCCGAGCTACGCGACGTGCAGTCACTGCACCGAAGAGAGCTGGAAAGACCCGGGTTTGGGGGTTGGTGATGGAGAAGGGGGAAGGCTGTGGGCAGAGCACCAGCTGAGGATTTTTCCAGAGGTGTGGAGACCTTAAAGGCAGGTGAGGCCAGCTAGGCAGGACGCGGCCTCCCCAGGCGACACTGCCTCTTCCTGCTCTGTAGACCATTCCTTCCCTGGCAGCGGGCACACGGAGGACAGACGCGCCAGGTGAGGGCTGGTCTCGGGGCTGACGGGCTCTGTCGCCGACCCACGGATCGTGTTAGGTGTCGGGCAGGCAGGGTGAAGAGGGCTGCCTGCTCTCACAGAGCTGCTACTGTAGTCGGGGGAAATAAACCAGAGGTAAATTTAGATGCCACAGACACCCAATGGCATTGGTCAATAGCTGGCAGAGCAGGGCCCTGGGGCCAAATCCAGCTCTTGTCCTGGTTTTCCTTTGTTGAATGTTTAAAGGATTGTAAACAAAACCAAGTTAGGCACACAAGCCCAGCTCTCCATTACTTGGTCCTTTACAGGACGAATTTGCTGAGCCCGGGTGGAGGCGGTGACTTGGCACGGTACACGGTACACGGTACACGGGACAAGGTACATGGGACACGGGACACGGTACACGGTGCACGGGACACGGTACACGGGACACGGTGCACGGGACACGGTACACGGGACATGGGACACGGGACACGGTACATGGTACATGGTGCACGGTACATGGTACACGGGACACGGGACACGGTACATGGGACACGGGACACGGGACACGGGACACGGTACGGTGATCCAGTGGACGCTGCTGGTTGCTCTTCCGGATCCCAGCCACAGAGAACCGTAGTACCCCTGAGCCTCGGGTGGGGTGGGGCCTTAGCCGCCTAAGCCCAATCAGGCTCCAGAAGGAAGCGGGGCTCGGTTCAGGGATGTGCCCGTGAGCACGTGGATTCCCCTGGGCTGACTGTGGGTCCAGCATCTTTCCCTTGGGTGCTGGAGGACGAGAGACTCTTGGTAGGAGTGGAACTTGGACGTGAGGCCCGGGGTGCTGCAACCACTTTGCTAGTGTGCAAGACATCAGCAGGATAAAGCTGACCCGTGGAGGAAGGGAAGGACCCAGGCCCTGGCCATACCACGGTGAGGTCTGGTTTGCTTTCCGACTTTCTAGCTCCCAAGTCAATAATTTCCCACCCGTGTTTAAGCCGGTCGGGGGTTCTTGTTTCTTCCTTATTAAGTTTACTTTTATTTATTTGAAGGCAGAACGAGAGAGAGAGAGATCTTTCATCCTTTGGTTGGCTCCCCAGGTGTCTGCCACGGTCAGGGCTGGCCAGGCTGAGTCCAGGAGCAGGACGTCACGTGGGGGGCAGGGACTCAAGTACTGGGGCCACCCGCGGCTTCCCAGTTAGCAGAAGCCGGACTGGTGGCAGAGCGGGACTCGGTCCCGGGCACCGTGACGTGGGACGCAGGTGCCCCAGGGACAGCTTGACCTGCTGTGCCTTAACACCCACATCTCTTTTTTTGACCCAATGCATCCTAACTGCTAGAGGAACGTCAAGGAAGAAAGAAGTGGCGATTCAGCCGGGCCCCAGCGATGCCAAGCGATGCCAAGCGATGCCAAGCGATGCCAAGCGATGCCAAGCGATGCCAGATGACTTAGGAGACCTGGAGGAAAACCTTGCAAAAAGAGGCAGATGTCCTGAGTGCGCACGGATGAGACACCCCAGGACAGCCGGGAGGCCAGTGAGCCCTGGCGAAGATGGCACGGGACAGGCACGGGGCTGGGCGCGGCTGAGGTGGCTTTGGGGAGCTGAGATTTTACTCCAGAGGCATTGGCAAGCTGCCGTTACTTCTTTCTTTTGCACTTAAATCCATTTTTATTTATAGTACAGCAATAAAGTACGCAGCGTGACGAGTTTCAACACCCAGGCACACACTCACACAGCCGTCACCCAGATGAGGAATGTTCCTGGCTTCTGCGAGGTGCTCTACTAGCTACGGGAAAGCAAGTGCAAAGGAAACAGGCGAGGTGCTGGTGGAGGATTTAGTGAAGCCCAAAGTATTATTTATCGATGCTGAAAGTATCAATGAGCTGCTACCCTTCTTCCTTACCAGGCCTCTGGAGTCCAGTGTTTGCTTTGCACTCACCGCCTGGCCAGTGTAGCCAGCCACGACCTGGGTGGCCAGGCACTCGGGTACTGGACAGCGCAGGTGCAGAAGGCTGGGGCTCCAAGGCTGAGCAGCAAGCACTGAGAGGAACAGAAACTGTCCGAGGCAGGCCTCGCCTGTATTCACAGTGTAACTGCTTTGTTTTTCTGAAAGCAAAGTTCGCTCACGCCCAGTCTCAGTTCCCTAACCCTGTATCCCCTAAGGTCTCAGATTACTCAACACAGGATACTGCCACAGGGTCTGGTTCCCTCCCAGGCTGCCTTGTGAAGGGGGAGTTCTGCACCGCCCGAGGCAGCAGGCACAGCTGAAGGACGGGTCCTCTCCCCAGCCTCCAGCCTCCAGCCTCCTCCCTGAGTTGGCGCAGATGTTCACATGGGAGCCTTCCTCAGGCTCTGGGCTAAAGCTCGCAGGCAGCACAGTGCGTGCCCGGGGCCGTCCGAACCCCCGTCCACGCCCATGGTCCCCTGGCCGCTGAGCCTCATCCGCGGGGCCCCAGAGGCCCAGAGCCTTCCATGGCCAGGTGGCAGGACTCCGCGGGCCTGGCTGGGCGAATCCCCGGGGAGCAACCCTCCTGTTGACAGCATCACGGTAGCCAGGGGCAGCGGGACGGCGGGGGCCGCACTGCTGCTTCCTCAGGGCCGGGATGGTGGCGGAGGCTCAGATGCAGGCTTGAGGCCCCTTGGGTGTAGCCTACCTGAGGGAGGCAGCGCCCAGCCTCCCACTGGGGACCAGCAGGGGGACGATCGGCTCCAGCCCATGGTAACCCATCCTCCTCGCCTGTTTTCCCATCTGGCACTGGCTTTCCACGCCTGTTCACACACAGGTGTGCAGCAGCAGAGCTACCCTGTGTTTCAAGGGCGACGGCTGGGGGTGGGGGGTTGGTCTAATCCCGCTGGGTTTCATTTCAATTGCTGGGTGTGCCCTTGGCTGCCCGGGCCCTCCTTTGATGTCTGTACAGCGCCCTGCAGTTCCCGTCAGGACACTGGTCCCCGCCCCGACCTGTACCCCAGGTGTGTCACTCAGGGTACACGGCTCGACTAACCAGGCCTCGCTTCCCCCAGGGTTAAAATGCCAGTTACTGTATCTTGGAGGCTGTAGTGACTGCCGGGTGGGTGTGGGCATTTGGCTGCGTGGTTAGGACATAGCTTGCAACCCTGAAGTGCTGGGTTCAAGGCCAGCTCCCCCGTCTATTCCAGCTTCGAGCTAAGGTTCCTTGGGAGGTTCCTGACCTGCATGGAGTGCCAGGCTCCTGACCGGCCCGGGCCAACCCAGGCTGTTGTGGGAACAAACGATCTCTGTGCCCCAATGCCTCTCAAATAATAAATGAAATAATAATAATTCAGTCACTGCACGTGAGAGCGCGGCAGGGGAAGTGGTGCTGGACGGCCTCCCCAGGGAGGAATCGCCCTGCGGTCTGGGGCTCTCTCACGGCAGCCCCAGGGACGGCTCCGGCCGGGTCCCCGGACCCCACACCGGTCTCTCTCCAGCCGCTGGGCCAGGGCGCGGCGCGCGGCCGCACCGCAGGCTCGTCCCGGGTCCCGGGGGCTGCGCGCACCTGCGCCGCAGCCCGGGGCCACCCTTCCTTCCCGGCCCGGCCCTTCGGCGAGGTCCTCCTGGGCTCCTGCTCGGGCAGAGCGTCACGGCCCAGCCAAGCGCGCGCCGCCTTTGTGCGTCCCGGGCCTCCCGGGGCCGGGAACGTTCTCCGCACTCGCACACGCGTTCGCACCCCGCTCCACGGAGCACCGCCCCATCGGGCCCCATTGTTCCTGGGCGACAGCCCTCGCCGCCCCGGACCCCTCTTCCGCCCCCGGCCCGGGGCTGGGGGCGGGGCCGGCGCTGCCAATCACGGCGCGGCGCACGTGCCGCACGTCCCCGCTCCGGCCCGCCCCGCGCAGGCTCCGTGGGGCGCGGGGCACTGTGGGGCCGGGAGGTGTGAGCGCGCCGCGGGTGTCGGGGGTCTGCGGCGCGTGGAGGGCTGCGTGCACGCCGGGACCCCCGGGGAGGACACCCCGGGGCCGGAGAAGGGGCCTGCACCTCGCGGGCCCCCTTCTGTAGTAAGGGGCGCGCCGGAGACCCCAGCCGTTCCCCCTAAGTGCGCCGCGGACAGGTGGCCACGGCCCGCCCACCAGGGACCCGCCCGGGGAGGGCGGGCAGAGGGGGATGGAGGGCACCTGTGCAGGGGCAGCTCTCCGCTGCAGACCCCTCCTCGCCCCCAGCCAGAGAAGCGGCGTGGTTCACAGACCCAGCGCAGGTGCGGACCGAGGGGCCGGCGCGAAGCCGGCAGGCCGACCTCCGTCCGGGGTGCCCCGGGCGCGCGTGGGGCCAGTGCCATGTGGCCGGGAAGGCGCCCCTTTGACGTGTGGGTAGGACTTGGGCCCCCTGATGTGGCGGTGACCAGAAACTTAGCAGGGGCTGGCTGCCTGGGCTGCGGGCTCACCGCACGCGTCGCGGGGCGCGGGAAACAGGCCGCAAAGACAGGATTTTCCATTTCCCGGGGTGTTCGTTGTGAAATTACAGTGGGAAGCTTTGGGCTATAGGTCCACAGAGCGCATTTCCTTGAGTCCTGGCGGGCCCCTGCTTACCGAAGTTAATGGGGTTAATTAAGTGCATCAGGCCAAGCCAAATGCCGAGCCGGTGCCGGGCCAGGGTGAGGAGGTGAGGAGTGGCCGGCTGGCCTCCCCGCTGTCGGTGGACGCGGACGGGAAGTTCTCCGTTGGCGCTGCGAGGTCGTCACGGATCTCGGGCCTCACACCTCCAGGAGTGTCGCAGGGGTTTGCCTTTCTTTGGTTAGCGCCGTCTCCAAGTGGCATTACAAGTGCAGCTCGCAAACAAGAGGCTTCAAGACAGCCTATGCCGTGTCTGCGTTGAAATGTGCTCCCAGGCCGGGTCTGTCCCTTCCTTCTCCATGGCCCAAGTTGCACAAAACGAGTCACTCGGCCCCGGCCCCGGGCCTGACACAACGGAACGTGGGTTTTTGTCCTTTGACACAGACATTGTGACTTTGCTTCACAAAGCCAGTCAGCACCGTGGATTGACTTGGTCCGTCTTCTGTTGCTGAGCCGCTAGTTTATACAGGAAAGGTGCGTATTTGGCACCAGCGTCTGCCCAGTTCCTGGCAGGGTCCTCGTGGTTGAAAAGCGGAAGAGGGAAGCACGTGTGAGAGCCTGAGGGGACGCGCCAGGCTGTTTCACAGCCATTGTGGGACCTCATCCACTCGGGGACAGGACCGCTCCCATGACCCAGAGGCCCCACCACCCCTCAGCCCCACTGCACTGGTGGAGAGAAATCATACTCAAACCAGGGCATTACCGAAATGACCTTTTCCCCAAGGATTTATTCGTTTACTTATTTGAAAGAGCAACAGAGAAAGAGAGAGAGGTCTTCCGTCTGCGGCTTCACTCCTCAAACGACCGCAGCGGCAGAGACTGGGGCAGGCTGGAGCCAGGAGCCAGGAGCGCCACACGTAAGGTCTCCATATGCGTGGCGGGGGCCCAACACCTGGGCCCCCATCGGCTGTCTCGGGAGCATTAGCAGGGAAGTGGCTGGGAAGCAGGGGAGCTAGGACTGGAGCCAGTGCTCCGATCCGGGCTGGGGACCCCCAGCGCAGCGGAACCCACTGCGCCGCCACACAGCCCGTCTCACCTTTCCCAGGGGGCTGCCTTTGGGATCGAGGGTGCCCTCCTGAGGGACCAGCAGGCGTAACCTCAGTGAGCAGAGTGTGCTGGGCTGTTCTGAAGACGGCTGTGCCCCGGGAGCCCCGGGAGCCCCGGGAGGGAGGCAGGGAGGCTGAGCGGCCCTCTGGGTGTCCGCAGCCGGTCTGGGAGGAATGCAGGAGCCGCAGAAGTCGGGATAGCCAGCCGGGGCCGCTCCAGCCAAAGGCTGATGGGGGGTCAAGCCTGGCCAGGCTTTGCTGTTAGCATGGAGAGAAGGAGCCACAGCTGGTGACACCAAAAATACCATGGGATTTGCTGGCTGCCTGCTGTGTCCTGGGCGCTTCGCAGAAACCCCTTGTGATGGGTTGCTACAGGCCGGGAAACGGCCGCGTTATCCCAAGCGGAAGTGGCCTGGGTGATCTGCTCTGGCTTTGTAAGCACTGGGGGATGGCAGTGCAGAGGTTGGTTTACAAGATCTTATCGTGAGGGAAGTCAGGGGCTTCCTAGACTCCAGCCCCTGCAGGAGAGGGGGCTGGATCCGAGGGAGCAGGGACAGATAAGGGTGTCCTGGCGGCAGAGTTGTGTGGGAAGGAATTGGGACAAACGACACAGGGTAATTGGTGCTGTTGGGGTGGGCCAGAGTGCCTTTTGGTGAGTGCGTGTTCAGGGAGAAATGAGAGGTGGGGCCTGGTGGGGCCGGGGTGCCAGCGGGGGCATCGTAGGAAGGCGGCTGTGCGCAGCTGCAGGACCTGCAGTGTGGCCAATTCCTTCTAAGTATCGTAGGAACACTGCACAGTTTTGTGTTTTTCCTTTTAATATTTTATTTACTTGAAAGGCAGAGTCACGGAGAGAAGAGACAGAGAGGTCTACCATCTGCTGGTTCACTGCTCAGATGGCCATAACGTCTGGGGCTGGGCCAGGCTGAAACCAGGAGCCAGGAGCCTCTGGAACTCTCGCAAGGTGCAGGGGCCCAAGGACTGCCTTCCAAAGTGCATTAACAGGAGCTGGATTGGAAGTGGAGCAGCTGGGGCTCAAACCGGCACCCACATGGATGCCAGCGTCACAGTAGCGACTTCACCTGCTATGCCACAGTGCCGGCCCCTACTGCGCAGTTCTAACACAGTGCCATTGGCTGAACTGTGTGTGTGTCCTGTAACCCACATGTAACTTGCAGTACTTCAGAATATGACCTTTTGGCAAGGGGGCTTTGCAGATGAAATGAGTGAAGAGGAAGTTGCCTTAGAGTAGGAAGGGCTTCTGCGCCATGGCTAGTGTCCGTATACAAAGAGGGAATCTGGACACAGACGTGCACGGGGCGGGAAGGCAGAGGCCGCCCAGCCAAGGAACACCAAAGCTGACCCCCGCCAACTCACCAGAGGCCGAGGGAGAAGCCTAGAACAGGTTCTCCCTCCCAGCCCTTAGAGGGAACCAAGTCTGGTGAACCTTGATCTTCGAGTCTGGCCTGCAGAGCTGTGAAGTGCCGCGCTTGTGTGGTTCATGCCTCCCAGGCTTGCTACTTTGCCCCAGCCCTGGGTAACTGATGGGCGGGGCCGCTTCTCTGATGAAGGCCTGGTGGGGGCAGGGCCCAGACTTGGAGAGCTCGCTTTGTAGAGGCTGAAGGGCCTCTCTCAGAGGAAATGATCGCTCTCCAGCAGGAAGATGCGTGTATTTCACTTCAAACGCAAAGTAGGGGTGGTGTTTGGCTTTGGGACACGGCATCCCATATCTGAGTGCCTGGTTTGAGCCCTAGCTCCACTCCCAGTTCCAGCTCCCTGTAATGCAGGCCTTGGCGGCCAGTGGTGAGGCTCGAGGAGTTAAGTTCCTGCCCCCACTTGGAGACCCTGATGGAGTTCTGGGCTCCTGGCTTCAGCCTGGCCCAGCCCTTGCTGTGGGGGACATTTGGGGGAGTGAACCAGCAGGTGGGAGCTCTTTGTCTCTCTCTCTTTCTCCCGCCTCCCCACTCTCTTCCTCTCCTTTCCAAATACATGCAGTAAATTAATAGCAAAACAGAATCAATACATAAAGACGATGGTGACCAATTCAGTTGC